AAGGAGACACACCAATAGGACAATGGAATTGAGAATAGCATGGCATAGTTTGGGGCACTCTTCTCCAAGATACACATGTTCAACCATTGCCGTAACTAAGGAATCAAGGTCTGACCATCCCCTATCTTAGGGAATTATTTGTGTTTCTCAACCTGAGGCTCTTTTGGATGAGTTGCCTATGTTTTCAGGGAGAAGCATTTTAAACAGGTGATAAAGATAGGGGGTCAGAAACCCTGAATCAGTAATTTGTTCTGGTCACTTCCTGCACTGCATCCCAGTGTAGCTCCAAGAAAGGAGTTACTACTTTGCCGTAAATGAACCTAGATGGAATACTCTAGAACACTAGGCTTGTTGCCACATGGTGGGGGTCAAAGAGGGAATTCATGGAGGTTTTACTTAGTATTTCCAAAATCAGTTGCAATAATATACATTGCCTAACAAAAGCAAGGTAACCAAAAGCAGAGATAAAGAGTTGGGTCATCCCACCAGCAAGCTAATTAGAGCAGCTGAGTGGTGGCTGAAAGTAAAGCATAACCAGAATACAATGTGTCTTAATTACTTTTCTCTTCTTGCTGAGACAAAATACCTAACACCCAAAGTTAAAGGGGGAAAGGTTTATTTGGCTCATAGTTTGTAGAGGGTTCAGTCCATAATCAGCTGGCCCCAAGGCAGGGTGGCACATGGCAGAGGGGCAACAGTTCATGGAGGACCGAAGGTAGCAAAGCAACAAGGGACAAGACAAGCCTCTTTCTGTCCCTTATACTGTATCTAGGCTACCGGGATTAGGCGAGGTCAAACCAATCAGTGGACTGATATAGTAATCACCTACCTTTAATCCTTAATCTTAGCATTACATCATGAATCAATCACACACTCTAGATTCAGGCACCTCTGAAAAAAGCCCAACTATGACTGCATGAGGCTTTGGGGGAACATCTAGACACAGCCATAATAGGATAGAAAGGAAGGAGAAATAATAGGACCATATGTAGATTGTTTTACTTTGTGAGGATTATTTAAGCATACAGACATTGCAAAATTTTGTGATTTTTTTATAAAGTTTTCAATGTTTTTATACTTTGTCCTGGTATATTTGCAGATCGTTCAAATACTCTGTTTTCCTATGTTTCCATTTTTAAATTTAATTTTTTCAATGGTTCTGAAACTTATTTTGTTTTGTCTAAAATAGGGACCTATTTTGAATGCTGTATCCAAAGATTGACTTCATTAGTTTGACTGTTTACTTGATTACATACAATTTTATTATTAATTTTTGTAGAACTCTAATATCTCTTAATGTCTAGAAAGGAAAATTCCTCATTAGAGACTTAATGTTTTAAAATTTTGTTGGTATTCTTTTCTGCTTATAGTTCTGGATGAGTTTTAGAAGAATTTCCTCAAATTATCCACAAAAAAAATTCTGATTGACTTTTTATTAAAGTATTCTATTGAGAGGTTTAATAAAAGACCAACTAATAATAGGATAAACTTCTACAAAAATTTTACAGGAAATGATATTTGTAGAATGCTTAGATTTCCTATCTGGGGTCCTCTTTTGTATTTCTTGGTGAAGCTTTGTGAAAAATTACTTCACATAGGTTCTATTCTCTATAAAAGTTATTCCCAGGCATTTCATAATTTTATTGATACTGTGAATTTTTGCTTTTTGATAAAACATAACAAAATAATTTTTGCCTTAACCATTCCTATTTTTACTGTAATAAATCAATAAACATTCATCAAATTTCTGCTGCTATAGTACATTATAGAATTAAGCCACAGAGACAGGTCTTATAAGAAAATTATAAAACTGTTAGTGGTTTACGGTATCCAATTATTCCTACTGTTAGAAGATATTGTGTGCTAGCTTTAAGGGATTCTTGGTGTAAGCATAGTCATTCTCTTTCTCTCTCTCTCTCTCTCTCTCTCATAAACACTGACAATAAATATAATAGATCCTCACCCAGAGTAGGAAATAATTGGTAATGTTTTGTTTGTTTCTTGAGACAGGGTCTCGCTATGTAATCCAGGCTGGCTTTGAACTCACTGTGTAGTCCAGGCTGGCCTCGAATTTGCAGTGATCCTCCCACCTCAGCCTCCCAAGTGCTGGGATTACAGGCGTGCGCCACCATGCCTGGCTTCAATAAATGTTTCAGGGTATGAGGGAGATGACATACACACATAAAAACCCACTTACAGTACCTACATAAAGTTGGTTTAATTGCACCATTATTCATTTGCTGATGTATTCACCTTTGCTTAATGCAGATCTTACTATCAGTATGAAATATAACATTTGAAACTCACTGAAATCCACCAGAGTTCGCAACATAAGCAGCAAAAAGAATGTTGTTTTTTAGTCAAAGCTGGAAAAGGCAAAGACATATTATTTTTGATACAGTTAATATTTCTATAACTGGTACTAAATAATAGAAATAGAAGCTTAGAATAGAATAGAAATAGAAGCTTACTCTCAGGAAACAAGGTACCATTTTCATGAAATATCCATGTTTTCCAATTTGAGACTCAGAAAGGTCTAGTGAAAGTTAACATATCACAACTGAACGTGCTTATTGGAAGGAAGCAGATGAAGGAGTAATTTGAAAAAATAGCATGAGATTTTTGGACAGGTTTTATATCTTGAAAAAATAGTGACAAACTATGATCGATTCTTGATACCTATATCTCAGTGTTTGAGGCCTGCAGTGAACAGAATAAAATTCATTACATCTACCCCAAACCATTCTTGCTTCAGAACGAGCCATTTCTTCTTGTGTTTCCAGTGAAACAGTAATGAAGTAGCTATGTTATTTTAATGGCCCATCTATAATGAGTTGCTTCCCCTGCCTTGCTTCAGTGTAACCAAAAATGTTTTGTCTTCTTTAGGAGTATCATGGCATATTTCATATGAACAGGTAAACTTACTAGTGGAAGGAGCAGTGCAAAACAAAACACTGCTTCATGCATTTTTATGTTAAGACCAAACTTTTTTTGTCTAAGTTGAACAAGTTGCATATATAAAAATAACAGAGTACATTTAAGCATTTAAAATAAAACTGTTATACAACTGTTATATATAACCAATGGAATGCTAATAATATAATCCTTTGATTCCTATCTTAGCCACTTTTAAGAAAAGGAACACTAACAGAACTTCGATCTTGTTCTTTTTCACTCTTGTGCTCCCAAAGCATATCCCACAGGAAGGCTCTTGAGGGACATATGTGCCTTTTCTCTGTCAACTGGCAAAAATTACTAAATGGGCACAAGAACAGACAACTGGCATGGTGCCTAGCCAAAAGACATGTTCTTAGGCAGTTTGGTTTGAAAAAATATAAATAAGGAAATTGAAGATCTTGAAAACAATTCCTTTTCCACCATCCATGCCAGGTACTCAACTTTAAAGGCCCCTGTGACAGATTATTTGCATGACTACTTCTTTTCACTAGGAAGAACAACCTGGTCCTTTTGAAACCCCACCGTCCTTTCTTCCTTGGGCATACAGAGCATTATATCATTTAATCTGTATGACAGCCACATGATGTGGACTTTATTATACTCACTTTACAGATGAGAAAAGTGAGACAAAAATTATTCACTTCCCCAAAGTCACAGAGAAAGTGAGTGGAGTAGCAAATACTTGAGCCCAAGTCACCTACCATCAAAGCCCATTACTCACACATGGTGCTTGTTTTTAGTTTGCTCTTTTGTTTTTTACTTTTACATTTTTAACAAACCAAATTCCATAATTTCAAATAATAACTCTGAGAAATGTTTCTTAGGATTCATTAGCTTACTTATGTGCCAGAAAACATGCCGCTTTACATATAATGGAGTTTATAACACCACAAATGAGGTGTGACCAGCTCCATCATTCTGATCTAAGGGAGAACACTCAGAAACTAACCAGGGCCACAACAATGCTAATAGGTAGTGAAGCTGGGATTCCACCCTATTACTATTTGATTCTAATGTGCTCTAAATTATTGTGAAAAATTGCTCCCCAAAAGCAGATCGTGGCGGGAGTGTGCGGTGACAGGAAGAGCAGGGCCAGAGGGCAACTGAAAACAAGGCCCTGTGGGGCAGAACTGCTTAGCCACTGTTCATGTGCTGGCTGCAGACCAGGGTGACCAGGTCTCCACAAAGTCTAGAGGGACCAGGAAATAAGAGTTTTATAAGAAAGCTTAGAACTGTCAAATGCTGGCAATCTGTGAAAAAGTGCACATACACTTCTGGTTTTTTTGGTACCGGAGATCGAACTCGGAACCTTGCGGTTTTGAGGCAGGTGGTGGAACCACTGAGCTAAATCATCGGCCCTAGCACATATACTTTTTAAACACACATTCTGGGCAGGCTGAATGTGGAACATGGACCATATTCTGATGTAGATGGAGGTGTGGGCTATTCCCCATATAGAGTTGGCTGAACCTCCACACAGGCAATTTCTCCTTAGTTCACTAAAATATGAGGGTAATATTGCAATTTTTGCTGACTTTGGAGCCTCTTGGACTTTGCCAGCATGACTACCTCGCCATTCACATCACAACAACACCATCCAACCTAACAATTCTTAGAGAGAATGATGGTTAACCACACACATCTGAGAAGCTCTCAAGTCCTTGTAAGAACTGAAGCTTAAGAGGCAGTACAGGGGCTGCTTCCTTCGAGGAGCCACATCTCAGATTCACCCTGATCTCCAGCTCTGCTCTGGACCTCTGCCTCTGGGCTCCGCCTTCTTGTGGTGCTCCCCTGCTGCTCATCAAGTCCACAGCGTGGCAGGGTGGGAACAACTCCTGACACAAGGCAGGAAAATGCAAGCTATTATCAGAATGGTAAATCACACTCTAATTACACATTCAAATCTAGTCCTTTAATCCTTAATACACTAGAAATCCAACCCAGTATCTTCATCTCTTGTGCTATTGTTTTTACACCAAGGAAGGCAAGTGTTCTAAACACATAAACCTGAAATGGAATCTGATTTTCAAGCAATCAATTACTTATATTCGCTGCTGTAGGTGGTGAGCTCACTGTCATTGTGCATCCATTTGAATTCCAAAGGCCAGCTCCCTTCAGCAAGGCAGGTGAGGACCAGGCGATTCCCTTCCAGGTGAATCTGTGGCAGGCCCGGCTCCGTTTTAAAATAGGGTGCAACATCATCTGAGATATTAAAAGAGAGAGGAACAAAAACTGAATGAAGTATGCATGAAAATAACAAGCAATGGATTCACAAATGAATTGTTTAAATAGATCTAATTTTGGTGGAGGGGGTGAAGGGAACACAGGGAATGGAGAAAAAATAAGAACCAAGATACATCATGTACAGGTACAAGTACCCAATGATAAATGTAAATGTATTGTATACCTAAAATGAACCAATAAAAGAATTTAAGCAAAAAATAAATAAATAAATAGATCTAATTTTACAAAGTAGAAATGATGGCTATTTGGTCAATTAAATAATAAATAGTCCCTGACCCACTAGAAACATGTAACAGCCCAGATAATATTTCAAATGTCCAAAAGCTCAATGATACCACCATTTGAAAGCATCTGACATGTTCATACAAGTTCCTTCTATTTATAATTAATACCACTTATCAAAGGGATATGCTAGGTATTATCTGCTCACATAAGCTATTGGTTTTAAGTAGGCAATCTATTTTCAAAGTTGCAATCAATGTTGTTCAAAGCAACAATCAAGGCTATGAAAGAGAAATTTCTTCATGTAACCTTCAATTTTTTTTAAAATGACTAGGATAAGCAAGATTAATATGTACAAAAATAACATGACTTACAATCTAGCTTTCTCTACACACACACACACACACACACACAATTTTTTTTTTTTTTGGTACCAGGGATCAAACTCGGGTCCTTGAGCTTGCGCAGCAGGTGGCGAAACCATTGAGCTAAATCCCTGGCCCTGCACAGTCTCTTTTATTCACTTTCAATGGGATATAAACCAGAAAACTTACGGCATATTCACATAGTGCACAAGAGAATACTATACAGCAATGAGACTGAACCTACTGTTCTACACACAATAACATGGATGAATCTCACAGATACCAGCTGGGACTAAAGTCATTATTTAAATCCAGATAATCTGGCTCCAGAACCCCAAATTTCTACCTATCATGATTCTCAATGTGACAAAATTCTCAATAGTGGAATTTTCTCAAGAACTCATATCTACCTTCAAAATTTTTATAACTTATTAGTGAAGTTACTAATCTAGACTTTAAGTCACATTACTAAATCTTTAACAAACTAAACATTAAATAGTATAACAGTACTAAGAATTGAAACTATGGTAAAAATGTAGTTGCACAGGAAACTGTTGTACCTACACTAATACCAAATATAGTATATAGAATTTAAATATATATTCAGTCCTACCATACCCACAGCTTCCACCTCTGCAGACTAAACCAATCAAGGATAAAAAAATCCTCAGGAAAAAGATGCCTGGTCTGGACTGGGCATGGTGGTGCACACCTGTAATCCAAGCACTGTGGGAGGCTAAAGTAGGAGGATTGTAAGCTCAAGCCCAGTCCAGGCAACACAGGAAAACCTTGTCTCATAATAAAAAGAAAAAGAGAAGAGGAAGTAGCTTGGTGCAGAAGCCTTTGGTTCAAGCCCCAGTACTGAAGAAGAAAAAAACTGTGTGCTAAACATGTGCAGACATTTTTTCTTATAATTCCTTAAACAATACAGGATAACAATTGTTTACACAGTATTTACATTGTATTAGGTATTATACCTAATCTATATATGATTTAATATGAATGAGAGGATGTGAATAGTTTGAACATTTGTGGATTTGGTATTTACAAGAAGGTCCTGGACCAGCCCCTAGCAGATACCAAAGGACAACTGCATAGAGTTTGTCTTTCTGTTTATCACTATATTCTATCATGATCAGTATAGATTGAATAGCAACTAAAATTACTAGGTTTCACTTAACTAGAAAATGTTAAATTGTATTTGTGCAGTAAAATCCTACAGTAAAGCAATTTAACCTAGTCAGTGAGATTGAATGCAAGTAGGAGTCAGAGTCTCAGGCAACACTCAGGACCAGTTGAGGGAACAAACATGGTACGTAACCTTGGGAAATACAAAAGACTGAAAAACAAGCCTTACTGCAAGTGCAGAGTGAGTGAATGAAGCAGGGTATGCAGGACTCAGTTTCTGCAGGGCAAGCGCATGCCATCCTGCACATGTATTAGCAACATCCACTTCACGTAGAAAGTGTCCTTGTGTGAGCGACAGATGATATTATTACCCTGTTAATACACCATAGTCAAAAGTAATGTCAATACCATGGCAGTGAGTAGCTCCTCCTACAAAAGACCTGCAGTCAAGAGACTGTGTAGCTCAAGGTCATTCTAGCTATAACATGGAGAAGCTAAATGGGGACTGGAATAGTTGGAGATCAGTTTGGAGCTCACCACAGTGATCCAGATAAAATGCTCTACAAGGTGACACAGAGGTAGACTGGCAACAGCCAACCGTAGGGATTGTAGAAGAGATGGTGAAGAATGGGCAATTTTAAAACAATATTTCAGTAGTAAAAGAGATTCAATGATGGATTAGCTACTAGGATAATGAGGAAGGGGGTGTCCAAACGAATCTTAGGTCTCTGGCCTGCATGATTTTCTGGTCAATAAAACACACCTTGATTGTGCCAGACCCTATAATGAGCACTGAGGATACAAAGAATAAGACACAGTTGTGATCCCTTAAAAGATTATGGTCTAGGTCTGACACAGAAGATAAACACTCAAGTGTTAGGTGCTATAATGAAATGTGCCACTCAGTCGAGGAGGACCCACTAATCCAGGTCCTATTGTGAGAGTTCCACCTGCTTCTGTGGCACATGACATACTCTAAGCTGCATTTCAAGTGCATTCTTAGGTTTTGATTATCAACTGAGTATCCAATTTCCCTTTCTGCCATGTACTTCAGCTAAAATCATCCACTCTTATGATCTAAGCAGTGTAATAAAGCTGAATTGCAATGGGTATAGCTTTGATACCTTGGGATTTACTGAGCTGCCGGCTTTATTAATGTCCTGCCATTTGGACTCTCTTTAACAACAGAAAAAGAAATGCCACTTGATATTGTTCCAGTGTCCTATACACATAAGTCATAAAAATATATCTCTTTGAAAGGAAAAAGCTTCAAGATAGCTCAAGAATTTGAATTTGGTTTTTCAATTGATAGCACATCAATTTAATGTATTATATAATGGTTTTCAATTTAAATGATATAACAATTCCACTCTTCATAGAATTCATAGTTAACATACTTATGTGATGTACAAAATTATCATGCTGAGTACTATAATCTTGCAGGAAAAAACTTCATATAGAATATTTTCTTACAGTTTGCAATCAAATGTCACATGATCTAAACCACAGAATCATGGTGAGCACAGATGCTGTCATTTACTATAGAAGAAAAGAAGATAAACATTGTCAAGGCTCTAGAATTTCAAAATCTAAATTAAAATCTTCATCTCAAATATTTTAATAGATTAGTCAATACAGAGAATAACAGTTACCTCTCTGAGCTTGGAACTATTTACCACTAAAAGACACCCCAAAGATCTGGAAACTTAAAGAGAGCATAAAGATATCAAAACAAAAGCTTTGGAGAGAGGAAAAGAAAGATGAATTAGTATTCAAGTGTGCACAGACTCCCTCAAAACCATTTGATCTTTACATACATTATATGGGACACAAAAAAGCCTGAAAATATCCATAAGGGGGAAAAGGGGATGACTGAATTACATCCAAGGTAATTATCAAATTTTACCTGGGGAAAAGCCAATGGTTCACTTAATGCTCTCTAAGAGGTGTGTGTCTGTGTTTTAAATAATAATAGATCCCCCTTTCCTGAAAGAAAACATATGGAAAGTATTAAATACTTCTGTATTCTCCCAATGAAATTCTAAAACCCTAGAATGAATTACCAAAGAAAACTGTGAAATTTCTATTTTCACATACTTTTAAATGGAACATAAATCATTTACAAAAGAGGGTCTCATTTACCTGGATAATACATACATAAAGTCTATCCAAAGGATAAGAATAGATTTAACGTTCTCTCAAGACAACATAATTTTATGATGAAGTCACTTCCCTAAATGGACTTTTAAGGTTCTCAGATAGCATGGAAATAGATTTGTTTTACCTGTCTAATGCAATGATAATCTGCTCAACCAAAAAAGGGTACCTGATCCATGTACAAGAGTTGAAGCACTTTCCATGTGGTGTAGAGAAGCATAAGAATCTGAGGGTGAGCCTTTCTTGTGGTCCAGCTTCTCTCACTTGAGAAAGGAGGAACTTCCTGTGGATTTGAATGATCTGTTCCACAATGGAAAACTGAGAATCTATTGAAATCCTTTAATGGCAGAAGGGCTAGGAAGCAACTACAAGGTACCAAGAACATCAAACTTTAAGGTATTCTTGTGCATGCTGATGACAACTTCAACTAAAACAACTGCCATTTACTCAGTAACTTGCCTTTTTCTTCTCTATTTTAATGCAATAATGAATAATGAAATAATAATGATCAACTTCCACTTAGAGGAATCAACTGTACCACAAACCAGGGGAGGTCTGAGCAGACAAATCCCACGTGTTCTGGCAAAGTGATGATGTAATTTATTAAGCGCCCCCCCCCCCCCCCCCGCCCACCATCAGCACCATCCATCAGGTGAAGAAACTCCAGCAGGGAGGATCGGGAATCACAACATGAATGGGCAATCGGCCAGAGCAGGACCTTTCATTACTGAACTCTGCTTTTGCCACAGCTAAATTTCCCAGAGTGACTAATCTTTAGGTTCAAACCACTAATCTTCCTTTCAAAACTTCTTTTATATCAAATTCAAACATTTTCATGAACTAAGCTTATGAATTTACCACTAACAGAAAGTTCTATTTTTCAAATTCCGTTGAGAACAAAAGTACAGGGCATAATGTATCATTTGTGAGCAACTATTCTAAAAAATTTGGATAGAACATCCCATTCTGGTAAATGTAATCATTCCAATTTCAGCTGCCAGCAGTTCATTACGTATCCCTATTGAAACCAGGAATTTAATCTCACAGTATAATGTACTTTCTTCATAATAGTAATATTAATCTTCT